GTGAAGGAAAAAAGGGGTGCAAAATGAGAGATCTCAGTTGGAGACCACAAAGAGAATTTTAGGCCAATTGTAGATTAGGAATAAGTGTTATGATGAAGAGCAGATGGCTCACTCGCTGTTCATTCATCTGCACAGTTCTGAACAAGTTACCTCGGTTGAAGGGGATAGAAGTATTGAAGATCTTAAATGTACTTGATTGTTTATCATAAAAAACTTAAAGAAATTGCAAGTTTAGTTTAGTTTTTGGGGAATGTATTCTATCATAGTAAACTTTAATTTGCTTGTTATTCCTTTTTTTTTTTGTTAAAATGATATGTTATAGCAACTACCACTCATTGGTTTTTCTCTCCCTCCAGCTCCATATCCCACCGCCTGCCCCCCTCCTCCCCCTCCACCCACAGCATCGCCGGGGCCTCCGGGGTCTCGTCCTCCACGCCCTCCTCCCGCCTCTCCAGGGGCTCCACGGTGAGGAGCACTTTCCACGGGGGGCAGATCAGAGACCGCCGCCCTCCCTCCCATGCTCCCCCTGCTTCCCCAATGCCATCCCATGATGCCAGCCCCCTGCCCCACACCAGGACCCGGACCACCTCCACCCTGCTCAGCAAACTCACCTCCAAGCTAACCCGCAGGTAAGGGGAGAAGCCGGGAGAAGAGGAAGGGGAGGAAAGGATAGAAGGTTATACGAGTTGCATTGTGTTCAGAGGTGTGACTTTAAGTAAAACAGGAAGACATGAAATGATAACAGATAGAATCATATCTAACAGCAGGATTGGAAATGTTGGATTGCTGCTAACCCTTCACGTGGTGGAGTGAGACTGTCAACAGTGTAACTCTTTTGCTCTGAACATGTACATAAAGATCATTGAGCTAACCTTGCTGCCTCTCTCCGTCTCTTCCTTAACCAGCACTAACCTGCCAGCCTTTCTCCTCTACTGGTGCAGCTTCACAGGCGTCAGACCTGGGTCTCATAGTGTGTCAACATGTTTGTGTTATTACCACCTGCTCCATTTACTAGTAAAAATGTGTCCACCTCATCACATTGAAAACAACAAATGTTATAATTGTGAAATAGTTCATATGTGATGATATATACTAAAGCCTATGCCTTAATTAGTGAAAACACATTTTGGCATTATGATTTAAAATGGGATGAAACCGTAGATTCTGACCCTTTTCATGTTGTTTCCCTTAGCAACAATAACACACAACACAGACAACTAGTGGATTTAAATACAAACTCATTTAGTTGGGGGGTTTATGATCAAGGATGGTCATTATATTTGAATAAGGAGAATAGGCAACACTAAGTGAAGGTAAAAAAAGAGTGTGTGACAAATAAAGAGAGATATATAAAAATGAATTCCCCTAAATGTGGGACTCTGTAACATATGGTTTAGTGGATAGCAATGTATGCAATAGTTTCATCCTGCACTATTGGAAATGACTGTATGCCCTTTCTTATCTAAGCAGTTAGAAAGTATCTTCATTTACAGAAAATGGTTAAAATCTCATAGTTGAGCTGAACTTTTCAGCTTCTGTCATAGCTGTTTCCCTGATACAAACAAACATTCAGCTATAAGACCCAGGTCTGCTGTTCAGGAGACATACTCTCTTCTTCTCTGCTGCTTACCGTTGCTTTATCTGTTGGTTTGTTTGATTCTTTAACAACTTTTCTTTTCCTTGCCAGTCACCTGCCAATCTGTTATCCTTCTTTTCTCCTGAACTACAGTACACAACGTTTGATACTGCCTCTTCTACCTGTGCTTCTTACTGTCTGGCATCTCTATTTTGTCTCCTCCTCACTTGCTCTCTCTTTTGTTCCATGTCTCTCTGACTTTTTGCTGTTAATTTCCCTTTTTTTCCATTCCTCTCATCTTCTCGTCATCTCCTTCTCTTCTTCCTCTTCCTCCTAGGGTCACTATTGACCCTTCTAAACGTCAGAGCTCAAACAAGTCCATGTCGGGCTGCACCCTCCCACAGGGGACAAAAACAGTTAGTAAGTCTTCCTTTCCCATGTTTTCTGGCTGCTTCTGTCTGACTGTCTGACTGTCTGTCTGGCTGACTGTCTGACTGACTGTCTGACTGACTGACTGTCTGCCTGTCTGACTGACTGACTGACTGACTGACTGAATGTCTGTCTGCCTGTCTGACTGACTGACTGACTGACTGTCTGCCTGTCTGTCTGTCTGACTGACTGTCTGCCTGTCTGTCTGTCTGACTGACTGACTGTCTGACTGTGTGCCTGCTTGCCAGTGGCTCTGTCCCCCCCTCATCACTCTCTGTGACTTTAGTTACACAAACATTCATCTGAGGCACAGCTTCTCTGCAGGCAGCCGTTTATTCAGGCTGATAACTTCAACCTGCTGAAAAAACATCTGTACTGATGTGAACTCTTTTTTATTTCCACATGAAGCTTTGTGATCAGAAATTATTTCCTCAAAAAGGTTTGTTCCATCAAGAGGACACTTGGGCTATAAGAGAGTTAAGTTAGCTTTGCTTAATTGAGAGGTGTCTTAATAAAATATGGACGATATAAATCAAATATTTTATCACAGTATATCTTTTTTTAAATCACAGTGATATTATCTCTATATATTGCTAATCTAATGAATACAATAACATAAATATCACTTTAGAGGTTGCCAGGGACAATGAATGGAATCATCCCGAGCACATGGAGCTAAGTGGTGCTGAGGTGGAAGACGAGCATTCTCCTTTATAGCCTTACGTTTTACTTCTGCTGATTACATTTACGCTTCAGGAATCATACAGGTGGTTTTCATTATTGATCTTTTTCTCTGCGAGAATCCAAAATCCAATGTAGGAATCCCCCTGGCTTTTTGTCGAGTTAACCAGGGCAATGCTCATTTCCGGCTCGGCCTTCTGTCATAACTCTATCACAGTCGTTATACAGAATACTTTGAAGGTTATACTCGCCTTATGATTGAAGGAGGATGGAACCTGGACTGGCCCGTTCAAAACCCATCTTATTCTGGGGATTCTGGGACTGAGGTCCCCAGAGTTCATTCTTGTAGAGCAGCTCTACCTCAACTCTGGATGTTAATGTGACTAAAGCTCTAATCAGCAGCTGTCTGTCTGAGTGTGTGTCTGTCTGGACTGCATGTTCTCTGCTGGCTGTATCTTCCATCCCCTGCCAACAATAACACAGAACCACATCGCTTCTCTGGGGCAACAAGGGCTGAATTGGTTTTATTGTTCGATTTGTAGATGTTTGTATTGTCCCTAGAAGACAGTCAATGCAAGGCAGAGGTAAGGGGTTAAGGATGAAGAGAAGTCATAAAGTGTAAATACTTCATCATAAAATAGTACATTTTTTAGTGCATTGTGTGTAGTCAGGTTGTACGACAATGATTATTTAATTTGTCATCAATCTGTCAATAACGTCATCATGAATAATTGGTCTATAGAAAATATAGAAAAAGAAATCTCAAAAAAAGAATGAACTACTACAATGTCTGAATCTCTGAGTCTGGAACATTATTCTATTCATTATTCCTCTGATGTGTTTTTTGACTAATATATGATTAGGCTGGGCTTCCTTCCTGTTATGATATACAGTGTGTCTATTTGTAGACGGTCATATAGACAACTTTGATTACATGTTTTATGTGAACAGATTTCATAGAACTGTATTAGGTTAGTTGAAAGCAATAATACTACGTTTAAATAGGTCCAACTTAATATTATTAATATTATGTCTATATTGTTAACTAACCATATAATACTTTTAATTAAAGTCAGTGTTTAGGTTTTTAGCTCAGACTTAGTGTGGTGAATAGGAAGACAGGTGAACTGAGACTATCGTTTATAGTAGTGACAATACAAAGGAGCTTTAGTTGCAAAGATGTGTGTGTGTAAACGGTGTAATGGGTAACCACGGGTTACCCTGCATCATTGTAGCTTCCTACCTGTGACAGTAAATGTGTGAACCTCGGCAGAATGCTAACAGCCGGCAGCAGTCATCCCTCTGATCCGGCGTCACAGCCGTTTAAATCAGGATTAGTTATGCAACCAGGATTGATCCTTTTCTTAAACAGGAATCTTCACAGCTGAGATACGAGCAGATTGTTCTGTTCCTCTGCTGCTAGCTTCTCTCACTCTGTCTCTCTGCTCTTCTTTCTCTCATTCTCTCACTTTCAGCCGTCCTCTCTCAGCTCAGATAATCCTTAACTCAATGCAGTGTGAGAGAATAGAGGGCGAGTCTGAACTACATACTCAGATAGATTTCCCCATATGTTTTCTGTCTTAAAGATGTGATACCACTAGTCTCGCTCAGGGTCACCTTGGCATCCGTATCCTTACTTTCTTGACCCAGTCAAAAAAAGAAAAGGTCATTTTCTAAAATGTAACGCAATCAATTCTTATTTCCCAAAACATTTACTTTTGAGAACAGGAATATATTGATATAGCTTTTAAAAATATTTGAGTAGCTATTTGTTCTACAAAATGTTTGTGTTACTAGTCAAATATTACCAACAGATTTGCTGTAATGAAGTTTATTATTCCTGATCCGACAGGAATTACCATCAATATGTTTGCTGGGTAATTTTTTTATTTTATAAATGTATAAATGATAATTCTCATCCCATTTATTGATTGTGTGGATTATCAGGGATTTCTCCATGTACTTTAAGAGAGGTGAGAGTACAAACATCTGAGCCAGGGTCACATTAGAGACACTTTCACTAAATCCTTATTTTTGTACATATATTTTACTGCTCAATTCTCCAGACAGCCACCAGTTCCTGGACAAGACATCAGGTTGCCAGGTTGGTAGCTACAGAAAACACCAACAGTGGCCCCTGGTGGCCATACAAGGGAAGTGCAATAAGAAGCCTCAAACTCCTGTAGCTGGAGTCTGCTGTGTCGAGTAAATAGTTCTTTAGAAGAAACTTGAATACAAACCTACAGCAGGCATGAGCTCATACATCTGGATGTGTGTGGCATGTGAAATGCAATATTCCATTCTGTAAATTGCAAAGAATTTCAAAGCTACACACCGTTTGATTAGAAGATTAGACTTGTCAGCATGGCCCTCAAGAAAGGACAAAAAAGGAACATCCCAGGTGATTTTCAAATGTAGGGAGAGTAAGAATAGAAGTGCCTGAATACAGTAAATAGAAAAATAGAGCACAACTAACAAACCAACACAATAGAGAGTGTCAGAAATGTGTGCTAACATCAGGCTGCTCTGTTCAAATCTGGTCACCCTCAGGGTCCTGAAGGTAGACACTTGGGGAAGCAGGGGACCACATCATAAAGGATTCAACAACAATTGTATTTTAAGCATAGTAGAAGGTTACATTTTTCAATGTTGCCATCATTGTACCATAAACCATACCAAATAAAAACATGTGTCAGTCAAAATGCATCAAACCAAAGTTGTGAAATGCAGGTACAAAGACTAAATAAAACCTTTAATCTGATCAGACAAAGAGCTAAATTGTACAGTATTATATTTATTTTACACGTGGCAAAACTGTGCATCATACTGTATCAGACATGACAGCTGATACTATATCAGTGTGTTCCTATCAGAAGGAAGAAACACAGTTCTGGAGAGAGGCGCTGTAGCATCTCACACCATGCCTGTACAGACGATAGTCCCACATCAACATATTAGCTAGGACAGCATTACAACCATGTACAGACAATAGTAGAATGCTTGTTATATTTTTCTAAATGAGTCTGGTGTCCTCTTTTAACACACAATGTGTGCTTTAATATGCATCAGATTTGTATGCATGTGAGTCCGGCCACCGCTCATTTGTTTGTTGGTGACTTTGACATTTTGTTGTTTCACGTTCATCTGATGTTCCTGTGTGCTGAGTGTAGTTGTGAGGACCCATCTGTGGTTTGAAGACACGTTGTTGTGTTTTGTGTTGTGATTGTTGTTGATGACTGATGTAGCCATGCAGCTATTGCATTAAACAGGAAGGGGGAGAGGTTGATGTCAACAGGCCTATTGATTCCTAACGGATACGTTTTTCTTCCTCTTGAGGGTCACAGACGAACCTGAGAGAATCAGCAGATCTCCGGTCACAAGGTGAGTCCACATTTACGCTTTGTCCGACACCGACAACCAGAATGCAACCATAGAATACAATTACATTCTCAGTGTTACAGGCAGCCAACTCTTCTTCATTTATGAATCAATCTACATTAAGTCTAAATAAGATATAATTCCGTTTTGAACAGTCTGTGATAAGATGAATATTGTGATAACCAGTGGCGGGCCGTGCATTTCACACCTAGGCCTTCAGTGATGTCCTACACAGTCCTACCTGAATTATTCCACCTCTTAATACCATCATTATGACGCCATGGCTCTAGAAACTATACATTTAGACAGAAACGCAGTATAACCGGGCGTTGCATCACCTTAACATAGTCAAGTACAACAGAGTTATATTAATATTTCCGAAGCATTTATAATCAATATATCCGCATTTACAATTAAGAGTGTTAAACTACCAGCTTTAAGATCGCTTGGATACGGTCAAAACTTAAAAATAAAAGGGGCTTTTAAGGCATTAGTCTACAAAGTTTTATTAAGTCCACCAAACCAAGTTTGTTCACTAAACAGCGCATTGTCGCACCCAAAGCAGTTTCATTTAAGAAACGTGACGATAAAGGACACAAACTATTCACTGAAAATAAAATAAAACAAACAAATATTTGCATTTGTTTCAATGAGGATATATTTTTGCGACAGTTGGGTGAAAGTGTATTCCTAGCACTGAATGTCCCCCTCTTGATTGAGTAAAAGGCACCTTGATAACAACAATACACAATGTCAAACGTGCTCCATTGAAGTACTTTTACTGGCACAGCTGAGCCAGTGCGCCACACACATCTCTATATCTCTCTGGCAGAAGCATCAAACATTATTTTTTATATATTGTCATTTTAATTACATATATATTATTTTCGTTAATATTGATTTAATATTAACGAAATCAAAAAATGACAAAAATATATAAAAATAAAATAAAAAATAAAATGCTAGTACTAAAAGCAATTAGTGTATTCATTTGAAAAAAAAATCCAATATCTCACACATATCAAGATCATACTTCCAATGTCTTTCGTTGAACACTTAATCACGTTTCACTTACCGTTTTCTATACGTCTCTGTCACCATTTCTCATTTTCTATAGACATGAAGGCTACTTGGATGAAAGCCTAGTCTGTCCGTTGCAGTAGATTTCTGGACATTAGGTTCAATTAATTCGCTTCAGTGGCGAGACATGACCGCGCTCGACAAGAAGCAGTGAACAGGGTCTCGCATAGCCCTGCCACAAATGCAATGTTAAAGCTGAGACCCCAATGCTCTCTATCAGATCTCCTGCTTTAAGGAATTCTTAGGCGTGCTATAAGTGGGACATGAAGAGAAAATCATATAGCCTACTTTCCCTTCTCAGCTTCTGTTTTTGATAGCCAGATAGAACGACCAGTGTTCCGATGAGTCTGTGTTAATTTGGCCTGTCACCAGTTCGAAAGTGTGTAAGCGTGCCCATCGCTCTGTCGTTCCGATTGTCTAGCGTGGGTATGTGGAGGAATCTCATCTGGATACTTGCTCGGAAATTGTGGACGTGGTCCCGTCCGAAGAAGAGGTCGATCTTAATTGTTTAATACGATTTAGCGGAGGTCTGTTCTGTTTTTAGCCGGCACGCAGATCGAGTGCAGTTGTTGCGTGTTGATCTGTGTTAGTGAGTTGGCCGAAGGCTCTCTTGTGTGTACGCTGGGCCTCTGCGTGCGCGGGAATTGTGTGATGCGTCCGCGGTGGTGGTAGACCTCTGACTTAACTGACCCTGTCGCTCTTATTTGTGTCAAACAGACTCGTTCACCCTTGCAGGCAGAATGTACAGTTCGAATGTTTGTTCTCTGTCTGATAATGTATTCCCAAGGCACATTAATGCCTGTATAGCAGCACCATAGATGTGTGTCGCAGCAACAACTCAATTGCTGTCGGAGTTGAATTAATCGACATAGTATGCTACGCATAGGCGGATGCTTCCTCCTTGCTGATGTACGTATGTGCCTCTGCGTGCGTTTGGGACCACTCTCTTCTCGAATGCTGGCGCTTCTCGTGTCTATGCCACCCGCGTGGTGGACATCTGTATGCGGAGACACGCTTGCACCTGTCTCCTCACCGTCAACTTGTGCTCTAGGGATCTGACAACTGCGTGTCAAGGCCGTTGGGCTGGCACGCAACACCCTGCATATCTAACCCTTTTCGAGCCCTTGGAGTCGTTGTAAATTTGTCGGATGTGGCATGCGCTGTGATGCTCCACTTCCCACACAGACGCCCACTAACCGGCTGATATAGACTTTAAAAAAAATACACACATTGATAGTAATGGTTTGGGTCAAAGATAATACTCAAGAAAAATCAAACTCCAGACAAGTGCATATAAATCCAGAGGTCAGGGGCGCGTGAAGCATCAGTAGGTCCTCTACACAATGCATACTCGGATGATGTTCCGAGGGGTATGTGGTTCAACAGCCCTGCCTTTAGGGAAACTCTCTGCTCACACGATGCACCCAAATTATGAAACACAAATCTCGAATGTATACACTATTGCCACCGCCCGTTCGGCTGACTCACCCATCTAGCGAACGCCGCCGGACGGGCTGCAGAAGTGGTGGATGGCCAGCGTTTTGTGTGTGCGCTTATGGGTAGCATCTGCCATTGTTAAGAAAGAAAGGGCGTGCAGAAGGGAGGCCTCTATGTTGGAGGTTGTGTCACCCAAAAAAAGCCCTTGACTATTGGTGTTATTGTCTTCTTGGAAGGGGCCCCCTGGGGAGTGAGGTACTTAAATGTGGGTCAGGTGGCGTTAGACAGTGAATGAAATAAAGGAACACAAATACGGCTGCCCTCTCCCTTAACTATATAGCCTGCACACCCAAATTTAAGATCGAGGGAATGGCCGAGTGAGCCGGTCTGCGCCCCATCAATCAACTTACGTGCCCACAACCCATTAACTATACTCTAACGAGGAGGCGGTAGCATTCAGGGGTGGAGTCCTGCCAGAAAGACGCTGAAAAGGTATAAGAGAGCCCCGGCCATCGTCCATCAGCGTCGGCCTTGCCGCGGCTGTGTAGCAGGGTGTCTTCAAAATCTCGCACCACAAAACACGCGCTCCTGGGGACAGCCTGGTGTCGGTCAAGCAGTGACAGACAAGGGACCCACAAGAGACACAGAGACATATGCTGTAATGTGACCGCACGTGCTGGGTCGTGGTGTCGGTCGCACGCAGTAAGCAAGAGCGGACAAAAGGGTTGCGGTGTTTTTGAATGTCGTGCGCCATATATATATAGATCTCTTACATACCACATCACTTCAGGGGCAAGGTAGGCGGATAGAGTGTGCAGGGTCGTTGTTGTAGTTTGCCGGACGGCGGCCAGATAAACAACTTCCTCGCCTTTGTGAGAGCAGGGTGTGGTAATAGCAAAGCTCTAGTGTTTTGTCTCGCGAGGCAAAGGCAAAAGGGAAGGAAGGAAGCTCGGCAAGACGTGTGTCGGGTGTTCCTCGTGTTTCGCTGGAACTCCCAGGCGCATTGGCGATCGGGGGTGTGCCCCCTGAAGTGGAAAGTCCTGTGGTTAGCGCGCGCCAAAAACAGAAACCAAAAGCAGACAAATACAAGATACTGTGTGTCGAAGTAGGTTCCCGTGATGTTTGTGTGTGTTGCACGGGCCGTGTTGCGTGTGTGTCGGGACATCCAGACCTTTCCAGCGGCGCGCGAGATATGTTCGTTCCCAAGCCGTGTGAGAGAGGTACCAAATCGGGGGGGTGGGTGTGCCCGCGCCAAGAGGGTGTGTTTCGAAAAGCAGCGCGTCATTGGCATCGCCTCAACCCCGTCGCCCACGCCCCCAGTGTGGCGTTGTGGGTGGTGCTCCGGTTGTGGCGCCGCGTGTGGTATAAGAGACAAACCTCAAGCTCTTTTTCCCACAAGAGTCGCGTAGGGTGGTGGACATACAAACACCAAATACGAATACAGTTGACACCAATCCGCCGGCACTTCCCCAAGCAAAAGGGTAGCAATGTGGACAACGGTGGCCTCGTGCGCGGAGAGAAACTGTCGACCAGCGAGGACAGGGGTAGACGCGCGTCGTAGACTTCCATCGTGTCATCTAAATGAAAGTGCCTGTTCACCCAAACCCTAGCACACATCAATCAGTCTTTTCAATATTTCCCTATTTTTGTTCACCCTTTCAGGTTGGTGGAGCTCGCGGTGTCCCGGCCGCACTTTGTTCGCTTGAGCTGGTAGATCCACTCGGGTGTCCCCAAAGTTTCATAAGCTGCTTGTAAGTGACCAGCGTGCTTTGGTGTCTTCGTTGCCTGCCCTTGGGGTTAGACTAACTCAGTTTGCAGAAATCGTGTGGCGGCCAAACACCAAATCGCGCTTGCAAATAGCTGCCAATCCAGCAGTCAATTTGCCAGTGGCCTCTCGGGGAGGCTTGAAGCCAGGGGTACCCGCTATATCTGTGCATCCGAAATCGGACAAAACCCTTACCCACGCTGCTGATAGGCTCGATAGCGTAAGATAGGCCGGTTCTCTTCCTCACAAATGTCTAGCGCTTTTCTTGAGAAAAGTTGCGTACACAAAATGTAGCTCGTACTCATATTCGCCAAATATACAGACCTCTTCTCGCCTCAGCCATTGTGGTTGAAATAGAACTGCTTGTCGAAATCTGCACAATACGCTCGTTCTTCAATAGTTCGTCTACATAGCTCTGCCTCTAATAGGCATATCCACATCGCAAAAGACGTGCACGTCCGGCCTAAGACGTCAGTGCGTAGCTCGCCTGCTAGCCTGGCCCGGTTTGGTCGCCAACCTCAAAAATCTGATATGGTTTAACGCCGCGAGTGATTTGTTATACCGTTCACCTCTTAATCTACACGGCGAACCGCGACTGTTGATTCTGGAAGCCTAAAGGGCAGATTTCTTGGACCCTGGCCCAAAACACGAGTTAGTCGGCTGAAAGTATGATTTGGAATAAAAGCATCTAACATAAAGGCCAACCCTTTCCAGATCTCGTGCTGTCAGGGCTGGAAGTCCAGCCGCAGACCAAGAGGAAAGCTAATGAAATGAAGGAGAAATAGGACTACAGGCAATAATTTTTTAATACATATTGTCTGGAAAAGAATATATCAAAAATTTAGATTTATATTATTAGCTGACCTGTGATGTTTAGGCCCAGCAGGAGAAGGCCATTGCTGGCCCTGAACGGCCCACCCACTGGTGATAACATATATCTACTAAGACTAATTTTTCAGCACTATTTCTGTATTTTATTTGGCCCAATCCCAAACCACGCCCTACAACCTACCCTACACACTCCCCCCCCGTGACGGAGTGAACTCTGTCTGTAGCCACACTCGCAGCTCAACGAGGCTCCCTCCTGTCAGATGGAGGGAGTAAATACAGCGGCAAGCTTTGGGGCGGCCTCCCCTCTCTCCGGCAGAAACAGGAAATGCCGTAACTGTATGTAACAACGGTTTCAAATCAGCATCTCTTAGACAAAAAATGTAAATTAATAACTCAAATAAAACTCCAAACATCTTTAATTGTGTTACTTTTTTGTAAAGCTCTTTTAGTTTTAAACCTGATGTTTATAAGCTTCTTAGTTTTAGCAACAGTCTGTAAATATACACAACTTTATAATAAAATGCACACATTTACCTTCTTCTAGACTAAACACAGGTATGATCCTAAGTTACAACTTATGAGGTTATCATGAGGTTGTTCACATCGCAGTTTATCAGTGGATGTTTGCTGGAACTACTTGTAAACAGCTTGTTTCCTGACGGACACACACAGCGTGACTCCGGCGGTCAGGTAGAGACCGGTCTCAAGTCAGCACCGCTGCAGACTCGCTGTTTGAGGGCTTGATGGCCCAATTCCCCTCCACACCGCTCCACACTCGTTGGTTTGGAACAGCACTTAATGTGGCAGACCCTCCATGCGAACGCGCAAACGGAGGGGTAGGGTGTAGGGGGCGGTTTGGGATTGGGCCTTAGTTTCCATCTGTGACTTAACTTTGACACATGTCTTGACAGTATCGCTAGCCTCCTTAAAAAACACACGGCACAATCTAGTATTTCATTAAAAAGCAGTTGTTACCAAAAAGTAAAATGTGTCTTTGATAAGTAGTTTATATAAGAATATATTTAGTATTGACACAATGTTTCCACAAAAACATTGTTATACTTTCCTCTGTTCAGACTTAGTAACGCTAAGCTAACAAGCTTCCGGCTCCAGCTACTAACCATACAGACATTAGAGAGTTATCAATAAGCAAGAAATGTTTAATGTTCAAAAAACCTTTTAACCTCTACCTGACTGTTAGTAAAAAGGCAGGTACACTTTACTTTAATTGTAAAAATAATGTAAGGATATACTTTGTACAGAGAAATGTGTGTCCGCGCTGCAGCTGTAAATGTTTTCATTTTTAGGTGTGACATTGTGACGTCAGAAGTCTACATGGAGTCACACTAGGTCATGTGATTCAACATGGGAACTGGATTACGTTTACAGCACAGATCCTGAATTATACTACCTTTTTTTGTGGTGATCTTTTTGTCTTGCATGTGGGGAGGACACAAGGAAATACAGTCAAAAGGATTGGGAAGTGTTCCCTCAGAGAACGCACACTGTGTGGTCAACACCGTTGCACTTTGTCATTGCTCAGATCTCTCTGTACTAGATCTATCAAAGCAAGAAACATCAACTTCATATCCTTGCTATAAAAGGATAATCATCACTACCCACTACCCATTAGCAAGAAAGACAGATTTAAGACAAAAGTCTGATTATGACTATTAAATGTGTGTTCTCATTACAATTAAAAGTTATAACTATTTAATTTTGCTTGGATTTTCAAGCTTTACTTTGAAAAAATATATATATCCTACACAACAGTGTCAAGAAAGCTATTATCCAGCTATATGTGTATGGCTAGAGACAGTGATTAGACACAATACTGAAACAGAAATGAACCACATTGTTAGATTACTCAGTTATTTCATTTTCATTTATGGGTTACATGCAACAAAAGTATTAACAAAACCTACATTGGTATTACTTTCGGACTCTCATCTTATGAATACTATATGTTTTCAGGGTTATCATTATCATTATGTGACTAAAGGTGTGTGTAATTCCTCTGGGCCTCAGCTGCTTCAGCCCAGTCTCAGGTGACTGTCAGCAGGTAAACAGCAGCAGGTTAACAGAAGCTAACACACTGTGGGTCCTTTGTGGTAGATGATCCTTTTGATTTCAAGAGAAATCAATATATGATGTCTATAATGCATGAAAACACACTTGAAATACATTCATAATCCTATAAGTCATTATTATAATTATAAGGCATTATGATTATTGCTGAGGGCTTATAAATACTAAATAATAACGCATGACAGGAATGTTTTGAATGCGTTATAGATATGTGCGTAACTGTCACCTGAATGAAATGATCTTTTATTGTGTTAAACAGCAGCTCAGTGCCTGTCTCTTTACCTCCATTTTTATTTTATTCTCCATTAGTGTTTGGTGTGATTTTATGAATGTATGTGTGTCATTGGTTCTATAGAACAATATACATGTATTATTAATCCTAGATTGCCCTATATCCCTCACATGAAAAATACATTTTAACGTTGATTGAATAGAATAAAAAATAGAGAGTACCTTTCTGTGACCTAGATTTCTATGTACTGTAGAGGTATAAAAATACAATAATGTATGATATTAATCTATTTTCTTTCCCTCCCCGTTTCCCTTACCACTCATACATTCACACAACCATACACTTCCATCACTTATTCATCTCACTTACACTGAAACCCCATTCACTCCCATTCGTCCTGCACTCCTGCTCCTTCATATCTGATCTCCTGCTCCCCTCACCCCTCACCCCTCACCATCCACCCTTCCTGCTGTTATTCCCACACCACCCTCTCCCTCTCTTTTTCTTTTAAATCTTCCTACATTTCACTTTCCATCCTCTATTTTCGTCCTCCCAACACCCCCCCCCACTTCCAGTCGCCATCTATCTGGGCATCAGAAGGCGGCAGAGCCCCGGACCCCCCGAAGCGGATGGGATGTGAGGGTGCGGAGCCCTCGGGACCCGGCCGAGGTGGTGCTGGCGCTGCGTGAGGCGGCGCAGGGATGCGGCTGCCAGGTGCACCTGGCCGGGCCCTTCCTGCTGTCCTGCACCCATGGAGCAGCGGGCGCCCGCGTGGCCTTCGAGGCCGAGGTTTGCCAGCTGCCCAGCGGGCTGGGCCAGAGCAGTGGGGTGAGGTTCAAGCGCCTGTGGGGGGCGCCGCTAGCCTTCAGAGACATCGCCACCAAAGTGTCCAAAGAGCTGGAGCTCTGAGGGCGGCTGGAGGCGGGGCGGACAAATCACAGACAGGACAGCTTGATACTAGAGGAGGGATGAAGAGGAAGGTTGCCTCCTCCTCTTCATCCCTGGGCTCTGCCTCATCTGATTTAGCTAGAGATGCCTCGCCTCCGCCAAAGACCCTCTTCCTCTGATGCCACCAATCACAGCCAGACCAACGGATGCACGGACAGACCGCCATCGGCAGACTTATGGTGACCTTTGACATTGGAGCTGTCAGTGACCTCTGACCCCTGCTTGAAACACACCTCCATATTATTTGAGCCCATGGAGTCTTTTTATTTTTTATCACAACTTCATGTTTGATGTAAGGATGTTGCTGAGAACGATGGAGACTGATTATTGTTGACATGTTATTCCTATTGTACCATATTTGTTGTCATCATTCCTTTTTAAAGAGCTGCTACTTAAAGAGATGTTTTAATGTTTGTCTTTTAAGTTTATCTTCCCTCTAATGCTTTTTTTAAATGGGCAGAAGTTAGACATCTGTTGTCGGGAGCAGACGTGACATATTTCAGAGGTGAGGCCGCAGTCCCACCACCGGCCTCTAGAGGGAGACATGCAGAAATACAGAGACTTGTGACGGATTGAATGAAGCGTCACAGCCTGTCTGCCCATACATTGCTCCCAGTTAGTGCTCAGTTGGGATTTGGATGTTAGTTTTCCCCCTCTCTGGTCCAGTGCTGCCTCTCTGCCTGCTCCACTCTGCTGGAGCTGCTGACAGAGGAGCCGCGCTGTCTAAAGGTCACAGGACCCCTCTGAAGTGTTGTTCTTGATAAACTGATCACTGTGCTCTGCTATTTACATATATGTTACTTTGCCCAATGTGTTGTCCCATGCTACCTTTATTAACAAGCAAAACTCCTCTAGAAAAATGTAAAATGACACAACATGTTTTTGGTTTAAAGTGTAATGTTTGATTGGTGTTCTTATTACACAAGTAGGCACTGTTATTGTTCTTATTTGACCTACACAGGGGAAACCGATAGTCACTTACATTATTTTCCACTCAGCAGGTTTACTCAATTTAGTTTAGATAGGCAGGTTTTGTTCAGCCAATCAGAATGCATTATTCTGAGTCCAATATGTGCTAATTTAAAGGTTATTTAAATGAAATGCAGTCATTTTTAAATGTAACTAATGAATTGTCTACCCATTAAAAAAAAATTAAAAAGAAATTCCATGCACATATCCAAATGCTTTCACTGAGTGCCAAGACAACTAATAATAATAATAATTGTGTGCCACAAATGGTTAAAACATTTATTAATTACTGGTGAAATAGCATGGCTTTTTTCTTGACTGGTTCCAGTTTTTATCTTAATAACATTTAAACAAATAATTCAGAACGCCACCGTCTTATTTTTTCCCCTCAAATGTAGTGCAATACAGCCACACACCTGAGAACCTACTGGAATAAGCCTCCACTCAACAGGGCTCCTTGTTTCATTTTCTTTTTGATGTCGCTGATATGTTGTTAAAACTCATTGAGCACTTTTTTGTTGCCAGGAATGCATTGTACTGCAATGTCTGTTTTTATTAATTCCACATAGTCTCACACATAATGCCCATGATTGACCTTCTGAATGTCTTTCTTCCTCAGGATTCAGTGAGGTGACAAAGTCAGATAATGAAACTGAGGTACAGATAAATCACTATGGCCATAACAAATGGTTTAGTTCTTAACCTCAGCCACGCTACAAACTTTAAACCTTCGTCGACCAATCAGGCTGCAGCACTGAGATCAAATTCCAGTATGGCTGTACGAGATGTTTGGCTGTTAATCAATCAGTTTCCTGCCGAAAATAAATTAAAAGCATGCAACGTGATGAAGGTTTAAGATCTTTCAAAAATAAGATGTTCTTTTATAAAAAAACTTTGCTACCAAGATTCAACAAAAATACACAGAGTGCTTCATTGATCATACACTCACACTGACGACTCCAAAACCCAAAGGATGTTGTACTTGTATTGTTGTTCTACAATGCCAAGAAATGGTAACTTGTACTTTTAAAGTATGCAGCACCTAACAGGACACTGATCAGTGACAGGAAGAGCTGGAGGAACAGCAGTTTGGATCTTTACGGCTGTGAGGTCTACAGGAATGTCAAATGGGAGGTTTTAGCTGCAGCAGGTATCCATGACGGTCTGAAAATGTGAAGCTGTGATTTAGGGCTAGATATTTTATTTTTCTTCTTTCTGGTCCAACTGGGCTTCACTCTGAACCTGTTCTGTAGATGCAGTTAGAGCCGTGCTTTAAGGCTAGAGTTCTGTTGTATAGTGTGTTTGAAGCCGTGCTGTTATCAAAAAAACGTAACTAATGGGCTGAAATATGGAAAGGATCGACCTGCAATCCTGCATGTCTCCTTGGAAATAATGTGTGACACATAAATAAAGACTTTCAACCTCTATCATTTCAGTGTCTATCTTATTTCTTCTGTTATGGATGTTGTCTCCAATGTGGCATTCCACCAGGGTCTTTGTGGTATCGCTGAATTGTTGTTGGCTACGGTGTATGTGTGAGGGAAGTTCAAAGCTAATATACATTTTGTTATCTTACATGATGTAGGCCTATACATATCACCGTCATTCAGTTTGGAGTAGTTGCAAGATATTCATGTACGTTTCAAATACAATAAAACATGAGAGAGAAAGTTTGATTGTTACATGGGGCATAGTTTAATCATCCAGTTATAATTCACAACCAAAAAAATTAGTTTTAGGTACGCACACATAGCCATGATCAGACTATGCATGGATTGATCCCAGGATGTTACAGAGAAGATGTGGAGAGGTTAAAGTGACAGGAAGTTGGGAGTGGGTTATCAGAAGTAAGAAAGGAAGAAGCAGATGGAAAAGAAGTAGGCAGAAAGTAGCCAGTTGGCCGAAATCAGTAAGATAACTTTACAACAAGCTACCCGTTTTACGAAGTAAAACAAATTCCACAGACAGTCAGTGAGTAATTGGTTGTCTGTTCCGCTTTACTTCTGGGCGGGGATCATGCCATCGATGGACTCTCCCTTCTCCAGCTTCTTCTCCATCTCAACCATCAGCTTGACACCATCAACCACCATCTGCACCTGGGCCACCTCGGAGGAGCCCAGACGGTCAGCGTTGGAGATGTCGAACACACCACCCACGGAGGCTGTGTCCACACCACCTGCGGGAGAAGAAGGAAGAGGAATGAGGCCTCTGTCCAACACATGGAAACATCCCCTCTCCAGCCCCTGAGACTTGTTGAAACTTTGTAAGAAGGCTTCTTTAATGTATGTTCAACCAACATTTCTCATTAATTCAATCGTCAGATTCCTTGAGTTTTGGCAGGAAAGAAATGCAAACTGACTACACCCTGAAGATGTATCTCTGAATATGTAGGTGCATACGATCCATTAGGTAAGCGAGCGGGAAGATAATATTGCTATTAACCGAAACACAAAGAGCAAATCTTAAAGAATAATGCATTTCAGGAAGCCTATAAGGTTTCTAATCCTAAAACAAACTATGGCAGCCTTTTCAATAGCAATTTGTAAAGATAACATAATGAATGAAAACATCTTATTTTAATCCATGTTTTTTCATTTCTATAACTTTTTGTTCATATAAAAATGCTACTTTTGCTGATAGCTTTATCTTTCCCATCCAACAGTGTTAAATGTAAGCCTGCAGCGCCTCTGAAAATATTAGCTTGTAAACTCTGAGACTGAACCATTTCAATTTCATTTTGTTAGTACCTGTTCCACGCTTCTGCAGACGCAGTCTGGTCAGGATCTCCTCGAACTTGGCGTGTGTGCTGAGCTTGGGCAGTTTGACGTGCACTCCACCGCGCAGGCCGGTTCCCAGGTTGGAGGGGCAGGTCAGGATGTAGCCCAGATGCTCGTTCCACATGAAGCCATGGTTGTGCTTCTTGAAGATCCCCTCAATCTGACCAGTGTAGAGGATAAAGGGCATTAATAATGCATCATGGTTTAAATACAACCAGTCTGATGTAGCTAAACGCTAAACAGTCCTATCTATTAATAATGAAGAAATAAAAACAGCAATGTAAGGTCTTTATGAAAATGTTTAAAATATCATTTTAAATGGCTTTAACTCTTGCTCCAAGTTTAATTGTGCATATTTAATTGTCTGCTTGACTTTATTTAAATACAAAAATCTGTGATGTTTTTTGCATTACGTTCTGCAGACCAACGCAGAAGCGTCTGAAGACCTCCTTCATGTTGCCGCCCTGCTGCATGGAGATGACACGCAGATGATCCTCCTCGTTCACCCAGACCAGGAAGGTCTTGTTGTCGTTGTGCCTGGAGGAAGAAATCCAGCTCAGTTTTAATTTAAGTAGGACAATGATGGTGAAATGTTTACCAAAGTGCCCCGCAGAATCTTGACGGACATTTCTAACATGTGTCCTGTAAACTGGATAATCTGAGCTACACAGTGGTGGATTTAAAGGACATAAATGTTAAAGGGGAGTTGTGCTGCAGCTTTACATACTGTGCTTAATTATTCATGACACACTTTAACAGATGTTTAAAAGCCGGAATAATCAGGATTTTCACATTACGGTGGTGAGACAAAAGAGACAGATGGTGTTAGTTTTAAAGGTTGGCTTTGGAATGGCAGATGGGAGCTCCAGGATGGGGTTTGTTTAGAGTTTGTATTTTTGAGTTTACATAGGCACATAAACCTGTTTATCTGGGAATAAAGTTGAATTTGTTATACGTTTTTCTATTTCATTTCCATTATGTGTCTGAGTGTCTCTCACCAGATGCCTCTGCCGTCGGGCCAGTCACGGGCCATTCCGGCGCAGGTCAGCAGGGGGGACACAGGCTTGTCAAACAAGAAGTGATCGTTGATCAGCAGGTCCTGCTCGGCGTCGGTCATGCCACTCAGGGGGTAGTACTTTCCCTTGAACTCACCATCCAGGCTGGCCAGAGCTGAAAGAACCAAGGAAGGCACACAGGAAAAGGAGTCAGCCTCTGACAAATACATCTTGCCTTCTACAAACATTTGTGTAAGATTGATAGATTATTGTCATTAGGTTGACATTCACCCTCAATGGACAGCTTCTCAATGCCTCTGCGCTCGCCACGGCTGTTGTGGGGGGGCAGGGTGAATCCCTTGATGCTGCGGCCGGTACGCACACGGCTGGACAGCACGTAGTTGGGGTCCAGGTCGTCACCTCCCTTAGAGAAAGGACAGATAAACAAAATAGATACATTATTTGTATTGACTTGCACTTGTGTGAGGAGCTGGACCTTATGAACGTTTTATGAGTAAATGTACTTATTATTATGTTGGCCAATGAACAGTGTCTGGAGTTATTCAACTCAATCATGCCTTGGTGTGGCCATAGAAGTAACCAGCAATTGGTTTTACAATCAACAAACTAAGAGTCATTAATTTGGTAGCTGGTCAATAGGTATGTTTCCTTCCTTCTGATTTTATACACATCTATCTCTAACAATATCATCATGCAGGTCATGCAGCTCACCTTCAGGTTCTCGAAGTTCAGGTCGGTCGCATGCTTGTCGGTGGGCTTGTATCCACCATGACGGTCAGAGATGATGGGGTCCAGCAGCTCCTTGAAGGCTTCATAGGACTCCTCGTCACCAGCAACGCAACCAACAGTCATGATGAAGGGGTGACCTTTTGAACAAGAGGGATGACAAGGGAGTTGGTAACAATGCTAGCTAGTTAGCTAGTTCAACTTTCAATATTTATAACTTTGTAGAAATATTGTTAGATCCTCTCACCCCTGTAGGCCTACCCCATTTGCTAACAAATTCTTGGATACCAAAAGACCTTACTAAAAAACATGCCAGAACTTTAGCCCCAAACCCTAAAGATTGAACAAAAGTCCTGTGTCACCTCAGAGGTAGTGATCAATGCTAGCATGGTGGGCTTCAGCAACAATCCATAATCAGTACATATTCACAACTCATATTTGGCTGCATATAGTTGTTAATTCACTTCATTTATGTCTGTAAAAACAAAATATTCTGGCGTGTGTTAATGTCGATCCTGATTGCTGAATGTCGATGCTCCTTCTTACCAGGGTTGTCAACACCTGTCTGGATGACATCATCCACGGTGAAGCCGCTGGGGGTAGACTTTCCCCTCAGCTTGGCATAAATCTCCTTGGTCAGCACCTACAGCAGATGACACGCAGGTCAGTGTTTATACAGTCACATGATGTCTTTTAGTGCATGCTGTGTTCTATGAAGTATCTCAGCACAATGATAACAATGAAGAGACTTTGGTTGGTGTATTGCGGGTGAGTGTCCATTGAGCAGCAATATCAGAGTAGATGTTGTACCTTAGCCATATGGTTGTTGTGCAGGGACAGGTCGGGGAACTCCTCGTCCCCTGAGAACTTCATCTTGTAGTCGTTATGACAATTCTTCGCCATGGTTGCGATTCTTGCTCCACCTGAGAAGAGACACGAAAAAGAGAAGAGGACCTGTTATATTCCAGAATTGTACTGTTCGTTACAATTTGTCCTGACTGCATTTATTGGCACTTTGTTCCCTTATTGTGTAGAAACAGAAGACTACTATAGAAACAGCCCTTCAAAAGGCAGGTTTCATTGTTTGACTATAACAGTGAATACCATATTTATTCTCTGGTATTTCTCCAAGTCTTTCAAGTGCCTTGTCTATGAATCTTCTTGTGAGGAGGAGACACCTTTTCATTCTGTCCTTCTGTCTTCCTTTTTTCTACTCTAATTTCACTGTCTTTCTACTTCACTGTCACACTCTCCCTCGCCCCCCCCCCCTGTCAGCTGTTCTGTCTACATGCTTTTCTTCCTGCAGCCCTCCCCTCAGACTGTCTCACCGCCTGTCTCTCCCTCACAGCTGTGATTTTAAATAGTGACGCTGTGCCCCCTCTTGCCATGCACATGATGATGAAGGATTTTCTCTTCTGTCTCACTTCGTTCAGCCTTAGAATAATGCAAACTTAGTGGTCGACCTTCGCTGCAATACATGAGTGGAAGATAAAATACATTGGTTCTAACTAAATCGACTTTTTAAAGACCAAAAATAGCTCAAACACTCAATGCTTACAAATGTTTACTTAGTCTAAACGATATAGCCTTCTCCCATTGTTCTTGAGACATGGTTTTGTACAGTAATTGTAATTGTGTCCTGCATTTTGATTGAACATGAAATGCCTAATTTCCACCGCAAGAAAATCACACAAAAATGATTAACACAAAGTGGAACTAATTTGAGTGAGTAGAACTGGAAGTTAACACAAATTACTTTGAAAAAATTTATAATTTTGGAGTTGCAATCAACAGAGCTGCAGCTGCAGAATCAGTCAGAATATCTGTCCGAGGTGAGAATCCGTCAGTTGAGGTGCAGTTGATTGATGACACCTGGTGCGCTCAAAGGTCAAAGTGTTGCATGCCT